ATATCGCTTGAGTCATGAACTATTGAGGAAACTGTACAGAGTACAGCCATCATCACATTACTTTAGACAGTGGGCTAGAAAGTTCACAAACAATTTAGCTTTAACTGCAATTCTAGAATAATCAATACTTTGTAAGGTTGCCGCTGGATATATTTACAAATGGTAGAACGGTGCATGGAATATACATCATCAGTGCACTGCAGCAGTTAGGTTTACCTGTTCAATGGGGATTTAGATTGTATAGCTATTCTAGAATGACAAGAGACAGATCCGTCAAAGCTCCATACATTTACAATTGAAGAAACAGTTATATGCACAACCATCATCAGTGCTCCTTTGACGTTGACTAATTTGTTCACTGATAAGATGAACTTAGCAGCAATTATAGAGTAATCAATATATAGTATATTTGTGGCTGCAGATATTTACAAATGACACTACGTTTCTTGTACATCCACAAACAGTGCACACATCCGTTACAGCTCTGGACATTAACGATTGACACAACAGAACTATGTAGGTCCATCGTCACAGTACTGTTGTCCATGGATTAATTTGATAACTGAAGGTTCATATACCGTAGTGCATATAGAACAATCAATGTGCACATCTGATATATATAATGATATTTACAATTGCCAGTACGATAGTTAGCGCATTATTCAATGCAGCGCAGTAGGCGTTGGATTAAGCTTCTCAGTAACGATTTTTATTCCTTGGTATTTCTAGAATTATCAATGTATGCGACAGTTACGCCTAGGGGTAATTACAATTCCCTGTACGGTAGGCGGCAGAAACACCAGTAGACTATCTTAGCCATTGTATTATTCCGTACAGCCACGTTTTATGTTCAATTGTAATTATAGATTGACAATGTACTAACTCATTATCGCCCGAGATATTATAAAATTGACGAAACCGTATTGTGTACAGTCACCATCACAGTAAATTCGCCTTTGAACAAACAAGCTCACCGATAACTTAATTTTAACAGCAATTCCAGAGTAACCAATCTATAGTATGGTAATGTCTAGAGGTATTTACACATGGCAGTGCTGTACGGAGTACAGGCAGCAACACAGCGCTGTATCCATTGAATAAACATCTTCAATGACAGTGCAGGTCATATAGCAACTATTGAATGACAAAAGACTTATCCATTGCCGCACGAAGTATTAATAACTGACAACACAGTTCTAAGTACAGCCATCATGCCAGTACTCGAGCCGATGCATTAACCATTTTAGTGATGCTTTATGTTACACGGTAGTTCCAGGGTAAGCAATTCATACATCGTTTGTTGGCTTAGATACTTGCAATACCCAGTACTGCAGTTGGTGCATCCACCAAGAGACCATTATAGCCATTGTACTATTCTGCTTAGTGATGATCTATATCGTACTGGTGCTATAGAACGACAAAGGGCTGGCTCATTATCGCTCGAGATATTAACAACTGAGGAAACACTACTGTGTACAGCAATCACCACAGCACCTTGTATATTGTACGAATTTGTACACCCGAAACTAAAATTTAACTGCAATTCAAGAATAATCAATGCATTGTATGGTCATGTCTGGAGATATTTACACCTGACAGTACGGAACTTAGTACGTCCATCATCAGAGCACTATAACTGATGGAAGACGTTTTCAATGATGATGTATATACTATAGCAACACTAGGATGACAAACGACATATCCGTTGCAGGTCAAGGTATTAGCAATTGCCATAACGGCATTGAATACTGAAATCATGACAGTACTGCAGTCGTTGGATTTATCGGATCGCTTATCATATAAGGTCCACTGCAATTCTGGAATGGCAAATGACTAAGCCATTATCGCCTAAGACATTAGCAACTGACGAAAGGGTCCTGAGTTCAGCCACGATCGCAGTGCTTTAACAGTTGGGCTAATTTGTTCACTGATAATTCAATTTTAACGGCATTTCTAGAATAATCAATGTGCAGTACTGTTATAGATATAGATATTTGGAGTAGACAGTACATTATTTCGCACATCCACAACAGAGCCATGTAGCCGTTGAGAAAGCCTGTTCAAAGATGATGTATATTTTGTAGCTGCTCCAGGATGGCAAAGGAGAGATGCGTAACAGCTAAAGGCACCAGCAATTGCCATAACGTCTCTGAGTACTGCCATCACCACAGTTCTATAGCCGTTGCGTTAATTTGTTAACTGAGTCAATAAATTTCACATGAATTCTAGAATTATCAACTCATATGTCAACTGTGGCCACAAACTCTAACAAACGTGACTGCGGTACTTGCTACGTCCACTCACAGAGCACTGTAGCCGTTGCACTAATATATTCCCGGAGGATTACTGTTCCTCGGCAATAGTAGAATGGACATTGTGTGTGCTATTTATGGCCAAAAATATTTGCAATTGACAGTACGGTACTTAGTATGTCCACCAACAGAGCACAATAGGCGTTGGACTAGCAGGTTCACTGATGTTTCGAACTGTGCAGCAACTATGAAGTGATCAAAGCATGGATCATTCATTTGTGGTGGCATAGTCAGTTGACAATACCGTACTCAGTGTAGCCATTTACACAAAATTTTAAGCATTGAACTAATCTGTTCGATGATCAACTAAATTCTTCAGCAGTTGTAGAATATTCAATGCATAAAGAAATTATCGGTGGCGACTTTGATGTATGTAAATACAATACAGAGTATACCCACCTACATTGCTCTGTACACGTTTGAATAATGAGGTCACTGATACATGTTCTATAGCTATTCAAGGGTTACAAAAGGGAGATGCATCATCCCATGTGGTAATAACAATTGACAAAACGACAATGAGTATAGCCTTCTTCGAAATAATGTGTCTGTCGTTTTAACTTGTTCACTGATGACCTAGCTTCCTCAGTAATTTTAGAATAATCAATAGATATATCAGTTATGCCCAGAAATTTCGGCAACGCAACGTACGTTACATACATCCACCAACAGAGCACTGTTGCCATCGTGTTAATTTGTTCACTGACGATGAATGTTGCACCGCAATTCTAGATTGATCAATGCACAGGGCGGTTATGTTTAGTGATATTTACAGCTGACAACAAGGTGCTTAGTATATCCACCAATTGAGCACGGTAAACATTTCATTTACCTGTTCACCGATGATTTGTGTCAAATGTAAGTACTAGAATGGCAAAGGAGAGATACATTGTAGGTATGGTATTCCTTTATCTATTCCTGGGCACGTCTGTAAATTGCGAGGGAATGCTTGGGCACTTCACCGTAAATAAATGGCAATAAACTGGCGTCTCGTGTTTGACTCGAGCGTCCGGGGTATTATCTGAAGTGTGTGCGGGAGGATGAGTGACCCTCCTCAAGGATAGTGTGAATGGGACGTTTATGAATGTAAAGGTTACGAGTGAAGAGTGTCTCCAGGAATGCATTTGAGTGTTTAGAGTACGCGGCCCACAGAGTGCGAGGCATGGAAGAGTGTTTGGGAAACCGTGATTGGGAAAGATAGCACGGGCATGAAAGAGGATGGATTATGGGGTTTAAATAGGGACGCGAGGTGGCAAAGCGTGCAGTTTGGTGGAGTATGGTGCAGTACGTTAGATTATGTTGCAGTATGCTGAGTTATGTTGTGGCATATTTGAGCACGTATTTCGGGCAGTTCCTCGAGAAGTTCTTTGAGAGGTGGTGTGTGTAATGATCGTAAGCCTAGAATAAGTTCATTCTCAATAAATCAGTTCTATTCTGCACCACCGAACTCTTGCTGCCTTAATAAATAAAATTCCTACATAAATTGGTGGCTCAGGCGGGATAAAGGCTGCAAGTAGGAATTCTTCGGAGTAAAGCGGTGGAAAGAAGAAATAACTGGCAACAATGTTATTGGAAGCAATAAACAGCCAGCACACCATGGACAACCGTGAGATAGGGGAGATTGCGAGGAGCCGTAATCCGTGTTCCTGAGAAGCGAAAGATTTTCAGAAGACGATCCTAGAAGCTCTAACGAAGGCGTTAGTAGCTGCAGTGCCGAAGAAAGGAGCATCAATTGTACCAGCGTGCTCATTACCGTTCAGCAGCGAAGAAACAGGAGCGATGAATGTTAGAATTACGACAGTCGCCAATAATTTGGACCATTTCGATGGAACGAGAAATCAGAACAACTGTCGGTAGATTCTGGCGCGTTCTCCCTAAAGCACATGCACGCTGCCGCCGGAGTCGTACAAGTACTTAATCGTGCCTCGTCTTTTTGGTAGAGCACGGGAGTGGTATGAATCGAGCCCGACCTCATCGCCATGACGATGGTCTAAACGGGGAGCTACGGGGAAGGTTCCGTCGTCAACCGTGCCAGCCCGTGTACGAACACGCACAGGCCCCACACCCCACGCGGACAGGGACATGTCACGAGGATGAAGACTTACGAGCTATATCCCAACATTAGGGGAAATGGAAGAAAGCATATATACATTTGACGGCGAAGGGGCAGAAGATGAAATAGAGTGGCTTTGTGACTTCGATGAAATTACGGAGGATTGCAAATGTTGCGACAAGCAAAGGGCCTGTTGCGCTAGAAGGCTACTTCGATGAACCGCAGAAATTTTCAATCGATATGCAGGCATGGGTGTATCGTGGCAAGAATTTAGGAGCAAGTTTATGTCAGAAGTAGCACGTGCGTTTGTAACAGCACATAGCAAAGACGATGTTGGAGACAAATATGGAGACGAAGATGTAGACGAAGCTGGAGATAAAGCTGGAGGCATGGCTGGGAACGATGATGGAGGCGGACCTGGAGACGAAGATGGAGATGAAGATGGACACGTAGCTGGAGACGAAGCCGGAGACGAAACTGGAGACGAAGCTGGATACATCGCTTGAGGCTAAGCTGGAAACGAAGATGCAGATGGACTTGTAAGCAGACTTGTGGACGCAGTTGGAGACGAAGATGCAGTCGTAGATATGAACGCAGATGTGGATGAAGATGAGCACGAGGGTGAGCACTAAGATATGCACGTACGTGTGGACAAGCATGAGCACGAAGGTGAGGAAGAAGGCGAGGATGACGACAGCAGACGGAAGTGCGTGTACGAGGGAGGTCAGGTAGGCTCAATGGATTCGAGCACAAGACCAAGCGCGGATGTGGTGCGACCTGTGCACAGGAGGGACCTCATGGGTAGCAGCAGAGCGTCGACCGTGGTTCAAGGTGGAACAGAGAGCGACTGCTGCGAGTAGCGATCTTGTACTGATCCAGAAACACCGGGGTGCCTGTACAACCAGAGGGAACCCAGCACCCGCCTAGCAGTGATCATCCTCCGCCGAGCGCAACAGCGTTGGCCATTGGCAGCGGAGTGTCCGTGTATCCCGGCATCTGGCCGTTAGCGTACGGGGAACAACTGAGTTCTACGTAAACCACATGGACTGGTCCTTCGTCCCCTAATGGAAGGAAATTGTTACGGTACGATTCGGGACTGGAAAACGACGTGTATTCTGAGGGCCTGACTGAACGACCAGGAGGGGAACCCGTACCCAATAAAAGGAGAGAGGATCATGCCGACCATCATCATGGAGATGGCTCTGGCCCGAGTGTCCACGCAGTTCGCGAGCGCGCGAGGGCGAGCGAAGGGAAAGAACTATATGACGTGGAAACCGTGAAAGGTGAGAAATATTTGGATTCCTGTCATGTAGTGAACGAGGAGCCCGACGCTGTCCAGAATAAGAAGGCAGGATTGAGCGGGCTGCTGCATGCAAGCGACGACGAGGAGATACAGGATGTGCTTCCGGCACAACAAGCGATGACGAAAGGAACGATGAGCAACAATGTGGTCAATGGAAAGACCGATGTTGCGAACGACGATGAAGATGAGAACGAAGACGAGGACGAGGACGAGGACGAGTATGTAGACGAAAATGGTTTCACTGAACATACCATTATAACGGCTACTGTTCTCTGCTGATAGATATACTAAGTACCGTGCTGTCAATTGTAAATTTCTCTAGCCATAGGCGTACTATACGTTGAATATTCTAGAATAACTCATAAATTATAATTATCAGCTAACCAAATTATTGCAACATAGCGAAGACAAGAATGAAGACAAGAACGGAGACAATAATGAAGACGAGGATGAAGGCGAGAGCGAGAACGAGAACGAAAACGAGAACGAAGGCGAGGGAGAATATCACGAGGGTAAGGACGAGGCCAAGGACGAAGGAAGCGCGGCTGGGGGCGAGGGCGAAGATGCTGAGGGGGGCGATGGTGCGGACGACGGGAATGCGCCACAGCGAAGACAAACATAAGGCCAAAGAAAGGGACGAGGACGAGGGTGAAGGCGAGGAGGAGACGCACTGGAAGAGGTATCAGCATCACGAGGGGATGCCAGTACAACGACGGCCAGAGGTGCAGTTGGGTCCTTGACCGTGGCCGTCTACGACCAAGTCGGGCGTCTACGACAGTGTCCGCTTGGCAGGAAAATTGGACAATGCCTTCTTTCTTGAAGTACGGCGGGAAACCAGATGAAATTGTCCTATACATGGAGCGTGTATGAGCGTCCTCGACTGCTGGAGTGATTGTACGAGTGACGAATCGCGATATATGAGGTCAGATATCATTTGCAAGAGCGGCTGGGTGTAGGAATGGTATTTCCATTATCTATTCCGAGGTGTGTCCGTAAAGCGCGAGGGAACGCTTGGATCCTTCTTCGTATATAAATGGCAACGGACGGAAGTCTCAGGTTTGAATCGAGCGTCCGAGGTATTATCTGGAGTGTGGGCGGAAGGGTGAGTGACAGTACGCATGGATCGTGTGAGCGGGGCGTTTATGAATATATCGGTTTCTAGCGAAGAGTGTCTCCTGGAATGCATCCGAGTGTTTAGGGTACGCGACCCACTGAGTGCGAGGCATCGAAGGGTGCGTGGTGAAGGGTGATTGGGAAGGAGAGCATCTGCATGAAGGAGTACGGAGTATATGGTACAAACAGGGATGCGAGGGCACAAAGAGTGCAGTGTGGTGGAGTATGGAGCAGTATGGTGGAGTAGGTCGCAGCACGTTGTACTTAGTTTTGGTTTGATTGGGTACGTATGTCGAGCAGTTCTCCGAGTAGATCTTTGAGAGGCAGTGAGTGCAATAGCCGTAAGCTTCGAGTAAGTTGGTTATTAATAAATTAGTTTCATTCCATACCACCGAGCATTTTGCTGCCATTGTAAATAAAATTCCTACAATACCGTCACCCGAGACGATAACAAGTGCCAGTATAGTATTGAGTACAACCATCATCACATTACAGTGGCAGTAGGATTAAGTTGTTCACTGGTGACTTGAATTCCACAGAATATCTGCAATAATCAATGTATGCGTTAGTTATGTCTTGAGACACATACATTTCCCTGTACGGTAGGTGGTGCAACCACCAGGGGAGCGCTGTAGCCCTTGGATTAATCTGTTCAGTGAAGACTTGTGTTCTGCAGGAGTTCTTGAATAATCAATGGATACGTCTCTTATAGCTGGAGACGTTTACAATGCCCCTTACGGAAATAGCTGCAGCCACAAATAGCACACTGTAGCCGCTGGATTCATGAGGTCAGTGAAGAAATATATACTATTGCCATTCTGGAGTGATAAAGGCCTTATCCCATATAGCTCGAGAAATTAACCACTGACAACAGAGTACTAAGTACAGTCATCATCACAGTACTGCAGCCATTGGATTAAATGGATCACTGACGACATAAATTTCACAGTAGTTTGGGAATAATCAATACATACACCAGCTATGGATGGAGATATATATGGTCCCCAGTACGGTAGTTGAAGCATCTAACTATTGGGCACCGTAGTCGTTGGATAAATTTGTTCGCTGACGATGAAAATTCCAAAGGAATTCTGGAATAAGAAATTTATAGGACCGTTATGGCTACAGATATTTCCTATTGACAGTATGGTCCCTAGTATGTTCATTTACAGTGCACGGATGCTGCTGTATTCACCTATTTAATGATGATCTAAATTCCAATGCAATTCTAGAATGAGAAAGAACTGACGCGATGTTGCTCGAGATATTAACCATTGACGAAACAGTAATGATTACAGGCATCATCAGATTACTCCAACCGTTGGACTAAACCGTTCCCTGAGAGATTAGGTTTAACAGCAATTCTGAAATAATCACTACATGGTACCCCCATGGCTAGAGATGTTTACAGTTCCCGGTAAGGTGACTGGTACATTCACCAATGCAATAATGTAGCCGGTGGATTAATCTGTTCAGAAATGTTATAAATCCTGTTGCAATTCTAGAATGACAAGAGACTAACCTAATATCGATTGAGATATTAGCAACTGACAACACAGTACTGAGTACAATCGTCATCACGTTATTGTAGCCGTTGGGTTAATTTGTACACTTCTGACATACGTTACACTGTAGTTCTGGATTGATTAACGTATAAATCAGAAATTGCTGGAGATATTTTCATTTCCCTATACGGTACTTGCTGGATCCACGGATGGAGCACTGTGGTCGTCGTACTAATCTCTTCGGAGATGGATAAAATTCCAATGCAAGTTTCGGATAACACATTTATAGCACGGTTGTGGCTAGATGTCTTTACAGTGGACAGAGGTGCCCTTATCCCATCCATCAACAGAGCACAGTATTCGTGGACGGAAGTTTTCTATGATGATATATGTTCTATAGCAATACTAGAATAAATAACATAGATCCGTTACAGCTCGGGATATTAACAATTGTCATAAGAGTACTGAGCAGAGCCATCACCACAGTACAATAGCCGTTGGACTATCTTCTTCACTGACAATGTAAACATAGCCGGAATTCTAGAATATTCAAAATATAGTACGTAATATGCGTACTATATATTGATTAGTATAGAATTGAAGTTAAAATTAAACTATCAGTGAAAAATTAGTCCAACAGCTAAGGCACTACGGTGATATCAGAACTCAGTACTTCGTCGTCAATTTTTAAGTTCTCGAGCGATAATGGCAGAGTCCCTTGTCAGTCTAGAATTGCAATAGATTTTAAATCATCACTCCACATATTAATCCAGTGGTTACAGGGCCCTATAGGTGTTTAAAGTAACTACGGCACTGGGATTTGCAGAATATCCCTAGCCATAACTGATGCATGCACTGATTATACTAGAGCTACTGTGGAATTTAAATCATAAGTGAATAGATTAATAAAACGGCTGCAGAAGGTTGTGATGGGTGTACACTGCGCAGTATTATCAATTGCTAATACCCCGTGCCATAACGGACCTTCCTTTTGCCATAATGGAATTGCTATAGAATCTACATCATCATTGAACAGCCTTATTTGACGGCTACAGTGCTCTGTTGATGGATGTAGTAAGTACCGAACTATCAATTGTAAACGTCTGCTCTCATAAACGTACTGAACAGATTAATCCAACGGCTACAGTGCTCTGTTAATGGATGTACTAAGATCCGAACTTTCATTTGTACATATATCTATCCATAACATATCTATGCATTGTTTATCCTAAAACTACTGTGGAGTGAAAGTCATCAATGCAGAGAGTAATCCAATTCTACAGCGCTCTGTTGATGGATGTACGAAGAAACGTGCTGTAAATTGCAAAAGTGTCTAGCCAAATCCGTACTGTACATTAACTCCTCTAGAATTCCCGTCAAACTGAAGTAATCAGTGTACACATTAATGCAACGGCTAAAGTAACGCAATAATTGCTGTACTCAACATAGTTTCGCCAGTTGATAAGGTCTCGCGCGGTTATAGTACAGTTCCCTGTCATTCTAGGTTTAATGTAGGACTTAAAGCATCACCGAACAGATTACTCCAACGACACCAGTGCTCTACTGGTGGATATACCAAGTACCGTCCTGTGAATTGTAAATAACTGTATCCATAACTGATGTATACATTGACTATCCCAGTACTACTGCGGAAACTAAATCATCAGTGAGCAGATTAATACAACATCTTCAGTACTGTGATGATGGCAGTACTCGGAACTGTTATGTCAATTGTTAATATCTCGAGCTGTGACTGATATGTCCCTTATTATTCTAGAATTGCTATATAATTTAAGTCATCACTTAACAGGTTAATCCAATGGTTCCAGGGCACTGTTGAAGGATGTTCTCGGTACAGTACTGTCAATTGAAAATGTCTCTAGCTGTAACATAACCATATATTGGTTATTCAAGAATTGATGCTCAATTCATATTATCAGTGAAGAAATTAGTCCAACGGCCAAAGAACACTGATGATGGCTGTGGTAAGCACCCTTTCGTCAATTGTTAATTGCTCTAGCTACAACAGATCCGCCTTTGTCATCCTAGAATTGCTGTAAAAACTAAATCGTCGTCGAAATTGTGAATCCAACGTTTACAGTGTTCTGTTGATGGATGTACTGAGTACCGTGCTGTAAATTGTAAATTTCTCCAGCCCTAATCGTACTATACATTGATTATTCGAGAGTTGCGGTTAGATTCAAATATCAGTTAACAAATTAGTCCAACGGCTAAAGTACTGTGATGATGGCTGATTTCAGTACAGTTGCGTCAATTGCAATTAACTTTAGCTATGACGGATCTGTCCTTTGTCATTCTATAATTGCTACAGAATCTTAATCGTCACTGTACAGGTTTTCCCAAAGGCTACAGTGCTCCGCTGATTGACTTACTACGTGGCGTATTGGGAACTGGAGGTATCACTGTCGATTACTGATGTACACATTGATTATTATATACCATCTGTGGAACTTAAGTCATACGTGAACAGATTAATCTAACGGCTGCAGCACTGTGATGATTGCAGTACGCAGTACTGTTATGTCAACAGCTGTTGCCCCGAGCTATAATGGGTCTCTCTTTGGTCATACTAGAATTGCCATTAACAATAGATCACTATTGAATGCAGGTCAATCCAACTGCTTCAGTACTCTGGTGGTGGATGTACCGGCAACCGTAATATGAAATGTTAATGTATCTAGCCCTACCGGTTGGGCACATTGGGTAATCTAGAAACACTGTGGAGTTTATGTCATCACTGAACAGATCAATCCGACGGCTACCGAGCTCCATTGGTTAGTGTACCAACTACCATACCGGGAATTGTAAGTATCAATAGCCAAATATGATGCATACATTGATTGTGCTGGAGCTACTGTGGAACGTAAACCATCCCCGATGAGATTAATCCAACTGATACAGTACTCTGATGATGGCTGTACATAGTACTGTGTTCTCAGTTGCTAACGCAGAGAGGTATAACGGATCTGTTCTTTCTGGATCT